GAAATTGGGCAAGAGAGAGAAAATGGACATGTTGGATTTTGTGTTGAATGGAGCTCCCATCCTGCCCTGCCCTGGATAACTCTGGAAGTGTGGAGTAGGGACAAGGAGCAGGGAGCAGATGGGCAGAGCTGTGTAGAATGCAGCAAGGTCTCTGCCAGTCTCAATATTTAAATCTCTTTCTTTTTTGCAGAAACCGCAAGTCCCCTGATTTCAAATCCTTTCCCGCTTTTACAAAGTAAGTGTGATGGATGTCTGTGGTGCAAAAGGCAGGGACTGCCCTCCTGCAGCCCTGCTGCCCTGCCCTCTGAGCAATTTTCATCAATAAATGCTTTTTTATTATGAGTCCAGGTGTCAGAGAATAAAATGCCTCATTTCTGTGGCTCTGGTGTCAGATTTAAATGCAACAGAAATCCTCCAGGGTGTTTCTGTGCAGTCTGGGGCTGCCAAATCACTTCATGTTCAGTCTTCAGGGAGTTTTTTGTGAGTGTGTTTTGGGACCAAGATTTGAAAATGACCCCATGTTTAAGTTACATTTGCACACAGAAAAACTTGTGGTGGGGGCTCAGCTCAGTAAAGTTCCTGTGGCCTGGCTTTGGACACTGGGAGTGAGCAGGGCTGGGATCGTGGACAGGGCGTCTCTGCTGCAGATTCTGCCCTGTGGCCCTGATGTTTCAGCAGGTGGAGCTTCTTCCCTTGCCTTGCAGTGTGTTTGGTTGCTGGCTCTGGCTTTGGGGTGATTTGTGCCAGCCTGGTGGTGTGAGCCAGCCCTGAGTGCCACACCCGGAGCATGCCCATGGTGAGGAGGAGGATGCTGTTCTTCCTCCTCTTACAAACCTGAGAGAGAAGCAAGGCCTTTATTGAGAACACGAGTTCCTGCAGGGAGAGAAATCCAATTAATGCCCAGATATTTAACAAGGGTGGTGAATTTGGGACCCCCCTTTTGCAAACATACTCCAGAGCACCTTGTTACCTCTTGCTGTTTGAGCTGGCTGGAAATGACAGAAGGTCTGTTTTCAAGAAACTTCCACCGATTTTGGGGTGTGCTGGTGTTTTTGTAGGAGCCTGCTGCTGATTCTCCTGCCTTGTCTCGTGGGTTTGTGTCAAAGGGAAGGTGCAATTCACTGCTAGTAAAGCTAAAGGCAATGGAAACATTGGGTGGAAATGCTGAGTTTTCCTCACAGTTGTTCTGCATTTGTTTTTCACCAAGATGTGGACAGAAGTGTTGAAATGTGGGTTTTCACTGCTGAGGAAAGAGCAGCCATGGTGACACCCTGCTGGGTGTCTGTCACTGCACAAGCACCTCAGGGCACTTGCTGAAACTTTCTGTTAAAGCTCTCAACTCCTGTTCCCTCCTGGCTTCAGACCAGGCTCTGCTGTTTTCCCTGGCTCAGATGTGGCAATGAGAGTTAACATGGCAATTAGAGTGATTTATTTAACCCAAGCACAGGCACTGCTTTTGCTCTGCCTTGCCTCACACAGCTGGGGCCTTGCTCACTGGGTAAAGCACTGCTAAAAGGCTCTAATTATAGCCTTGGGGAAAGATGTTTTAAATTGTGCAACCAGATGTGAGTGTCAGTTCTGTGTGGCTCAGGACACTGAAGAGGTTTAACAGCTGCTGGTTAAAACTGCTCTCAGAAAACACCTCCACAAGCACAGGGGGCTTCCCTTGTGCCACCAGCAGCTGGGAGCAGGACAGAGAGCAAAAGGGGAGAGCTGGGGGCCTTTGCTGAGCTCAGCCCACCTGAAGGAGAGCAGATCCTAAGGCTGAGTAAGGAGGAGCTGAAATTCCCAGGGCAAGGACAAGCAGAGGGCCAGCAGTGGTGGGAGAGAAGGAGAATGGGGCACAGCTGTGTGCACACACAGATGGGTGTGCAAAGCAGTTTGGACAACTTTTCTAGTTTGTGGTCAAGAGAAATCAAAGGGAGGAGGATTGACTGGATTGCCAGCCCAGGTGAACAGACTTTTCCCTGGTTTGGGACACAGATTGCCTCTTTCTTCTCTCCACCTTCCAGATCCCTCTTCCTCTTGTAGCCCTGGCACATCCCACCCTCCCTGCAGCCAGCCTGACTGTTCCAGCTCTGCATCTGGAGCATGAGGGGCTCAGAGAGCTTTGGGAAGTGAAGTGAGTTCATTCATTCCCCTGGGGATTCTGCACATCCTCCCAAGCATCCCTTCCCCTGCTCCCAGGAAATACTTTGGAATTGTTGGGTGAATTTAAATTTCATGCTTATTTTTAACGTGGCTTGGTTTTATTTGTGGTATACTTAGACTTCTGTATGTCTTTGTGTCAGAATTATTTAGAAAATGCTTTGGCATTTTCAGAATATGACATTAGCTTTTGAAATAGGTGGTGATTTTGTTTCCAAATTTGGACATTTCTGGAGTAGAACAGAAGGGGTATCTTTTGGAATTGAGATGAAAATCAACACAATTTTTCTGAGAAGAATCACAAATGAGAGATTTTACCAGTTCACTGAGTAGCCAGAGATTTGTGGTGCCAAAGGGAGGAGTTTGAGATGAATAGCTGTGGAGACCTTGGTGGTCACAGCCTGCTGGATTGTGGTGGTTTGACAGGAAATATGTTTTCTGAGATGCTGTAGTTAGGCTAATGAGTGCTCAGATTTTAATATTGGCACTTGGTTTTGCAGATGGGAGAACCCAGAAGAGACTGGATAGGGGTGAGGGGGAGCCAGCCAAGGAGAGAGCTAGAAAAATATCTCAAGTTTGTGCTGATAAAATAGCTGAGAACACAGCAGGAGGGAGGTGAAGCAGCTCAGGGAGACAAAATGAGCTGGGAAGGAAATGTGAGTGCAGCAGGAGAGCAAAATGCGTGTGGGAGATGGGCAGTGCTGGCTTGGAGAGTGGAGAGTGCTGGCTGATGGGGGTTTGCCTGGTGCTGGGGCTGTGACTGAGCTGTGACTGAGCTGTGCTGTGCTGGAACCTGCTCCCAGGGCAGCTGGGGCTGTGCCTGAGCTCTGCTGTGCTGGAACCTGCTCCCAGGGCAGCTGGGGCTGTGCCTGAGCTCTGCTGTGCTGGAACCTGCTCCCAGGGCAGCTGGGGCTGTGTGGGGCACAGCAGGGCCCTGGCCCTGCCCTGCTGAGCGGGGCACTGCAGGCAGGGGGGCAGCAGGGAGAGCAGTGAGTGCTGAGGTGTGCATGGCACAGGAGAGCTGCCAGTGCCCAGGGGACCGTGGGGTGACACCTGGGCTGGCAGCGCTGACGGGGACAGCAGGGCCTGCTCTGCGCTCTGCTGAGGGGCAGGGAGAGAGGGGCACACAGCCAGGGGCTGTCAGCAGCAGGCTCTCACAAGTGTGGCTGCTTTCATTCATTAGAACATTCACAGGTTAATTTTGACCCTTGCAGGGGCAGTCAGGCCCCCTGGGTTTGAGGCATTCCCATCTGAGCAGTGTGGGCTCCATGAGCAGCACAGGCACACAGGTGTGTCTGTAACACAGCTCTTTGGCATTGAAATACAAGCGCAAGAGGGATGGTTTGCACCCACAGGGAGCCTTCTCCTCTCTGACAACTAAAAACAAGTGGAAACAATTAGATTGCATTGTACCTCTTGTGGCACTGTACCACAACTGCCTCACTGCTGGTGATTTCAGCAGACACAGCCAGTCCCTGCTAATTCCAAGGACTAAAATCCCCATGTGCCACTCAGTTGTTCAAATCTTCTCTTTTTTCCACAAGCACAGTTACTTAAGTACCAAATTTCCAAACTTCCATGCTGCAGCAAGCCCAGGAGCAGCATCACAAGCAGGCACAGTGAGTTCAAGCATTGAGCACAGCTCCAGGCAGAGCTGGCTCCATCATTCCACAGGCTATAGGTTCTCACAGCATAAAAGTACAGCTTATCAGACTTGCTCATGCTCTCTTTTATGTTTTTCCTCACGGATTCCTCTAGCCTTGAGGTGAATTCTGGGGTTTTCTCTCTGAGATAGAGTTCTCACAAGGTATAGACAGCCTTGTGCTTCCCTGGGCTTTGGTTCTTCTGTCCTGGGTGCTGGTACTTCTGCTTATTCATTGATACAGAATATGGTTTTCTCTTCAAACTCAGCTCTAGACTTCTGAAATATTGTAGCAATAGACTCTGCTCCATGTGTGCCAGGCATTTGTATCCACAATTGTTCATATGCCACATGTTTGTCCATTCTGCTGCTCCGGGACAAAATGCCCCAGTGAGAAGTGACAGTGCTGCTGTGTTCCCAAATTGCAGCACTGTAGTTTGGGATCGCATCTGTCATCCAATGCACTCTACTGATGCTGTTTAGACAGGCAACTGCAAACATTTGCTTTTAGGTTAATTCAGTGGAAGAAATGCACTTTCAACATAGAACAGGGTTAAATGTATCTTCCAGCTCACCAGGGAGCTCTGCACCCAGCTCTTCCCTCACTCCAGCTCATCCATATTGCTCTGGCACATGGCTCTCCTGCTCTGCTCTCAGCCTTCGGGCACAGGCCTGGTTCCTGTGCTCCTGCCCTCCACCTCTGCTTCCCTGGCATCCTGCTGCCACCCAGTCCCTGGTGTCACTGCACCTGGTGACAGCCACAAAGCCCCAACTGCTCCACCCCCAGCCTCTGACTACAGCATTTGTCACAGCCCAGTGCTCCTTGTCTCACTCAGGACAGGCAGCAGACACTGGAGAGGACAGAACTGGAAGGAAGATGAGCCCAGCAGGCTTTACTCCCAGCACAAACCTGCAGGGACACGCTCAAGGCAGGCTGCAGCAGCCTGGGCCAGCACGCCCTGGCCAGTGGGCAGCCTCCAGGAGAAACCCGTGCAGGACCCTGAGATGCCCACCATGGCACCAGGGGCTTCCTGTAGTGCCCTGGCAGTGCCCTGGCAGTGAAGTGCAGCAGGAGGAGCTGCCCAGCCCAGCCCAGCCCAGCCCAGCCCAGCCCCGCTCGCTGTGCCCACAGCTTACACACTGAGGTATGCACCTGTGCTGCTTCCTGCAGACCCTGTGTAATTCTTCTGAACTGATTTCTCCCAAACAGAGCCTTACACCTGTGGAGCTTGTGGAATCCAGTTCCAGTTTTATAACAATCTCCTGGAGCACATGCAGTCCCACGCAGGTAAGCTGGGCACTTGGACTCGCTGCAAGCAGAGAATAAATTCTGTGCTGCTGCCTGGTGCTGACCCCAATGTGTGTCTGTAGGGCTCTCAGTGCTCCCCATTCCCACAGCCCCATCATTTCACTGCAACAAACACAGTCATCCCTCAAAGGCTGGAGCAGAGGCTCAGGGTCTATTGTACATTTTGCTCCTTTCCGTAGGGACAGAGGGAGTGTGCCACACTAGCTCAGAGTCCATCACTGCTCATTGCCTTTATCCAGAGCCAGCAGAGAATCCTCACTGTGTAACCTCCTCCAGCAGGTTAAATCCCCCATCCTGCTCTCATGGAGCAGGGCAGCAGAGCCTTTGCCCACACAAGTCCTGTCCTGTGCCTTTGTCTCCTGGAGTTCCGCTAAGAACTGAAATGTGTTCTCAGAAGAAGAATTTGCCATTTCAGCAGCTGTGTTCAGTTCCCTCTCAGCTACCTACAAATGAGAATTCTTAAGAGTCATTCCAGTGCTTTGTTTCTAAGTCACTGCTTTTGTTTCCTGTCTTGATACATAAGAGATGATTTTAAAATTTCAAAGCCAAACCTGTTTCAAAGACAGCACTCAGCATATTCAAAAATGTAGAAACAGAATTCATTTTATATTGGCAGATTTTTTTAATTTTTTTTCCCTCTTGAATTCAATTGAACTAACATGGTTATAAGAACAATTAAATCCTTTGACAGACCTGTGTTCTCCAACAGACAGCTGCTCTGTTGAGATGCAGATGCAGGCCCTGAGGAAAGTGGCATGGAAGGGCAAGAGGCTTGAGGAAAAGCATATTTTCCTTTCTGTAATAATGTTAATCAAAGTTCTTATCTTGCTCTTTATTGTAGTTTTAGTCCTAATTTTCATAGTGTCACTTGAGTTCTTCATCCATGAGGGTCCTCTATTCCATTTCAGTTCCTGCTGGCAAATCTTAGTGCAGGCTTTGTGTGTTGTTCAGCAGCTACTTTATTTATCATCTGTGTGATTCACACGAGGCTTTGAGAGCTGTTTGTGAGCAGAAGGTGTGAGTTTGTGTTTCTGGTAGAGCACGAGGGTTCTGTGCAGTATTGGGACTCTGTGTTCCCCGAGGAGCAGTGTGCTCTGCTCAGGGCAGGGCTGCCCTCACTCCTGGCTGTGGCTCTGTCCTTGCTGTCCATGGCAGTTCTGCTGCCTCCACGCTATTCTGACCATCCTGTTCTTGCTCTGGGCTCTGGCACTGAAATGCAGCATGTGGAGTCACAGCTCTGGGTGACACTGAGCACAGGAGGGGACAGGGGCAGCTCACTGAGGGCTGAGCTGTTGCACATGTTAAGCTGGTGCTACCAGCAGCTTCCTCCTTGTCTCTTCTTTACAAGTGACCCATGGGGGTGGTGCTGAGGGCTCCCTGTGAGGGTGGGCAGGCCCTGGCACAGGGTGCCCAGAGCAGCTGTGGCTGCCCCTGGATCCCTGGCAGTGCCCAAGGCCAGGCTGGACAGGGCTGGGAGCAGCCTGGGACAGTGGGAGGTGTCCCTGCCATGGCAGGGGTGGCACTGGATGGACTTTGAGGTCCCTTCCCACCCAATCCTGTGATTGTTCACCTGGGTTACTTTGGCCACACAACAGGGTGAAGGGAGCAGTATCTGTGATAGGCTCCTGTCACATCACAGCTCTGAATGGGTAAATCCCCTCTGCCCAGCTCAGGATTCTCTTGGTAAGCTCTGTTTTCTCCTTGCTCCCTGCTCTGTTTGCAAGTCCCCTCCTGTGCCTGGCTCCTCCTGCTGAAGTCTCACTGGTGCAGTGACAGGGAGGTGTCCGAGGTGTCCGAGGTGTCCGTGTCTCCTTCAGCTCCTTCCTGCAGCGCCACCGAGGCTGTGCCCGTGTCAGGCACTGTCCCCTCTGTGCCTCACAGTGCCTCACACTGTCCCCTGTCCCCTCTGTGCCTCACAGTCCTCACACTGTCCCCTGTCCCCTCTGTGCCTCACAGTGCCTCGCACTGTCCCCTCCCTGGCCTCGGGGGTGGTGCCTGGCAGCCCTGTGCTCACAGCTCTCCCCGTGTGCAGCTCTGGGATGAGGGCAGAGCCAAAGCAGAGGCAGGAGCCCTGTGGGCAGCGCTGGTGGGTGCCCAGCTCTGGGTGAGCTGTGTCTGCAGACAGCACTGAGGGCACACAGGGCCTGCAGGTGCCCTGGCAGCACTTTGTGCCCTCAGACTGACAGGGGCTGTAGTGAGGGTTGGTCTCTTTTCCCAGGGAACAACTGACAAGGGCAAGAGGAAATGGCCTCAGGTTGTTCCAGGGGAGGTTTAGATTGGAAGGGTTCTCAAGCACCCTGAGCCCACGGCAGGGGTGGGGTCACCATCCCTGGAGTGCTCAGAGAACACCTGGATGTGGCATCAGTGGTGAATGTGGTGCTGGGCTGGGCTGATGGTTGGACTGGATGATCTTTGAGGTCTTTTCCAGCCTAAACAAGTCTGGGATTCTGGGGTTTCCATATCCAAGAAGCAGCATTGCCCCAACATCTCTGAAGTGTGGGAGTGCAGGGACCTTGCCGTGGTCAGCAGAGCTGGTGGCACAGGATGCAGGGACTGGGGACTCAGGCATGGCAGCGGTTTGTCCCTGCTCAGGGAACGTTTCATTTCTGGATGCAGAGGCCACGATGGGTCAAATGCTCTCTCAGTTCATGTGTTCAGCAGCCCAGTTTGCTTTGTCCTGTCTAATGCAAAGGGCTGATCTCTTCCAGTGGCTGTGCTGCCTCCCCTGGACCCTTCTCACGAGGGACAGAAGCCAGGGAACGTGCTGCTGGCCTCCGGAAGCAAAATCAGGCACATTCTGGCTCTTGAGTCATTCAGAGGGCTGAGCCCGGAGGCTGGAAGGTAATAAGGAGAGATTATAGCTTCATAAAGCAGCTACACAGTGAGGAGAAGCAATTAGAATGTAAATTGGGTGCTGAAAGGCAGAAATAGAACAGCAGAACACCAGGCAGAGGAATTTGTTCTGTAATTACACTGAACAATATACAGCTTTGACTCCCTTTAGAGTACTTTGTTCAGGTCGAGTGCTGCCATATAATGCCCTTCCTACAATCTAGGCCTAAAAAAACAAAAGGAGGACTAGGCTGAACCTGGATTAAAGGATTGGAGGCATGAAGAAAAATTAAGAACCATGATCTGTGTAGTTCACAGACTGCCTGATAAGGAAGATGAGGCTGAAATGTACAAATCTCATTAATGCCACTCTGAATGCCAGCAGATATTTGTATATAATAAATCCCCTATTATTAGGAAATAGATAAAAGAGTTATGGTGAGGAAATACAGAGGGTTTCTCCCCTTACCCATCCCTCACCAAGACAAGGAAGGCCTGAACCATGAGCAAAGTTAGCAGGCAAAGTTATCCAGCATTTTCCTTTGCCCACGCACAGATGTTTGGAGTTGAGGACAGTGGTGACATTGGCTCAAGAGCAATTAGTGTGGCAGATGCTGGGGGAAAGGTGATGTGTCCCACGTGGTCGCTGGTGCCCTCTGAGTGCTCTTCAATCTCTGCACACCTGCAAAGTTCAGCCTGTGGCTGCAGCTGGGCCTGGCAGCTCTCCCTGGGTACCCAGCCTGGCCAGGGAGCTCCCCGGGCACACACAGGCCCAGGCAGGGCCAGAGGCTGTCCTGGGCCATGGCCTGTCACTGGGGGACTGCCCCAGCCTGTGCCAGTGCAGTGCCCACTGAGCAGCCTGTGCCAGGTGCTGGGCACTGTGCAGTGCCTGCACTGAAGGGCAGAGCTGCTCACCTGGAGAGGAGCCCAGCCCTGGAGCTCCAGCACAGCCCTGCTGCTGTCCCTGCTCCCCCGGGCTGCTGGCACACATGGAGGAGAGCACGGGCAGCTCTGCCCTGTCCTGTGTGTCCTGCTGCCCCCAGAGCAGCCTGGCAGAGCTGTGGGTGCCTCAAGGCACTGCTCCAGCTCGTGTTTCTCTGCCCAGGGCACAGGGCAGGGTCACTGCACTCTGTGCTGCTGTCCCCAGGCTGCAGGGGCTGCCACCTGAGCTGGCAGTCTGCACTCCCTGTAAAATCACTGGAGACTCAGTGACTCCAGGTGGTTCCCACCATGGTGGTTCTCACTCTAGGAGAGGATCCAGTTCTGCCTGGGTGAATGAGTGGCACCCTGAGTGTAAAAGGAGCCCTAATGGGCCACCTCAAGGAGAGGTGTGTCTGACAGGTGTCCAGAACTAGTGTGATGACTCCAGCTGTGATGAGCAAATGGCCTGTTCTCTTTTCCTTGGTTTTATTTCCATCCTTCTGCTCAGCCTGGTCATCAGTCTCTCCATCTTTCTGCTTCCTCTTCCAGCCCATTTCACTGTGCACTGTTCCTTCACAGCCTGTTTCACAGCACCATTTCATACTGAAGCACACTAAGAACTAGAGAATTTCCTCTGGAGGGTGGGGAGAAATTCTTGGGGCACAGCAGAGGAAAACATGGATACAATACAGACTTTACTGATCTTGCTTGCATTTTCTTGTAAGATCCCATCAGACTGGCAGCCACAATGTTTAGCCCAGTTACACACACAGAAATGGGAGCACAAAGACAAAGACTTTGGGGGCACTTGGTGTCTGCAGCCTCAGGGTGGGATGGTCTTTGGCCCGCACTCCAGAGACTTTGGCTTTGTGTTTGCAGCAGGGAGAGCCCCAGAGGAGATGGGCCCTTGCTCTTCATGGCGAAGAAACCAGACCTGAAGTTTGCAGTGAGACCCTTGGATCCAGAGGAGCTGAGCACAGCTTGCAAACCCAAGTGCTTCCCAGAGAGAACAGGGCAGCCACCTGCACTGCAGGAAGAGGCAGGGAGGGGACAGAAGGGTCAGTGTCTGTTCCACATCATTTTGGAAGCAAATGAATGGCCCAAGTCAGGCTGAGCTTCCATTGCTCCTGGTGTGCAGCTTCAGCTCCTGAGGAGACATTCCCCAGGGTGTGCTGATGGCATCAACATCCCTGGTGCACAGGAAGAGATGTGGCACATTTCAGCCACGTTTTGGGAAGTGGTAGGTTGTGAGTCCAAAGACACTTTCAAGGTGCCTGAGGGGGCTGTGTGAGCTCACTGAAAGCTGCCTAAAAGCCACAGAGAGTGTGGTGGGTTGTTGTCCCCTTAGTTAGAGGAGCCCTACATAAATGCTGAGCAGTTGAGTGGTTTCCTCTTCTTAGTGCTTTAAGCATTATTTTGTGCTTTTAACCCCTCCCTGTCTCTTGCCTCGCAGCTGACAATGAGAACAACATTGCCTCCAGCCAGCAGCCCAGGTCACCTCTCCCCGTGGTTGAAGAGAAGTGGAAGCCACAGCTCCAAAGAAATAATGCCAACAACAGTACGTAGCAGCTTCTCACTTTGTCCCTGTCCAACAGGAGCCTCAGGGGAGCAGCAGTGATGGACACTGCACAAGGCCCTTGTCCTCACCAAACTGTATTTGATTTCACCTTAAATCATGTCCTGCTTGGCTGAGCAGAGCACCCCTTCCTACTACAGGAGTGCAACAAAGGGGTGGTTGGAAAGATTTGTGAGGAAGATGCATTTGGTAGCTCCTGGAAGAAGGTAACTTCTGATCCAAGGTCAGACTTTCTGGCCTGGAGTTAAACAACTAATCCAGTCATCATGATGTGACATAGGCACAGGTGCCCAGAGCAGCTGTGCTGCCCCTGCATCCCTGGCAGTGCCCAAGGCCAGGCTGGACAGGGCTTGGAGCAGCCTGGGACAGTGGGAGGTGTCCCTGCCATGGCAGGGGTGGCACTGGATGGGTTTTAATGCCCCTTCCAACCCAAACCAGTCTGAGATTCTGTGATTTGATGTCCATCTTTCCATCTGGGCTGAGTTGTGACCATCCCCTCAGCAGGGACAGGATGCAGATCTCCTCCCTGCTGCTGTGACAGGAGCAGGGCCTGTCTCTGGAGGTTCCTCAGTCCAGAAATCCTGGGGGAACAAACCCAAGGTTGGAGTTGTCTCTTCCATCATCTGGGCACGTCCCACCTCTCTGGGGGTCTCTGAGAATTGTTCTGTGCCTTGTGCTCTCTCCTGCCGCGGTGTTGCTGACCTGGTCCTTTCTGTGCCCGCTGTGTTTCCCTGCAGCGCCGGCGAGCGGCTCTCTGGGGAACAGCGCCATCCCGGAGAAGGAGCGGCAGAACATCGCCGAGCGCCTGCTGCGGGTCATGTGCACCGACCTGGGCGCGCTCAGCGTGCTCAGCGGCAAGGAGTTCATCAAGCTGGCGCAGACGCTGGTGGACAGCGGGGCTCGCTACGGTGCCTTCTCCGTCACCGAGATCCTGGGCAACTTCAACACCCTGGCTCTGAAGCACCTGCCTCGGATGTACAACCAGGTGAAGGTGAAAGTCACCTGCGCCCTGGGCAGCAACGCCTGCCTCGGCATCGGGGTCACCTGCCACTCGCAGAGCGTCGGCCCCGACTCCTGCTACATCCTCACCGCCTACCAGGTGGAGGGCAACCACATCAAGAGCTACGTCCTGGGCATTAAGGGCGTGGACCTTCGAGACAACGGTGATTTCATCCACCACTGGGTGCAGAACGTGCTGTCGGAGTTTGTGATGTCGGAGATCAGGACGGTGTACGTGACCGACTGCAAGGTCAACTCCTCGGCGTTCTCCAAGGCGGGCATGTGCCTGCGCTGCTCGGCCTGTGCCTTGAACTCGGTGGTGCAGAGCGTGCTCAACAAGAGAACGCTGCAGGCTCGCAACATGCACGAGGTGATCGAGCTCCTGAATGTCTGTGAAGACCTGGCGGGGTCCACGGGCCTCTCAAAGGAGACCTTTGGCTCCCTGGAAGAGACCTCCCCGCCGCCCTGCTGGAACTCGGTCACCGACTCCCTGCTGCTCGTCCACGAGCGCTACGAGCAGATCTGCGAGTTCTACAGCAGGGCCAAGAAGATGAACCTCATCCAAAACCTGAACAAACACCTGCTCAGCAACCTGGCAGCCATCCTGGCGCCGGTGAAACAGGCCGTGATCGAGCTGAGCAACGAGAGCCGGCCCACGCTGCAGCTGGTGCTGCCCACCTACGTCAAACTGGAGAAACTGTTCACTTCCAAAGCCAACGATGCTGGCGTGGTCAGCAAACTCTGTCACCTCTTCTTGGAGGCGCTGAAGGAGAACTTCAAAGTTCACTCGGCACACAAGGTAGCCATGATCTTGGACCCTCAGCAGAAGCTGCGGCCCGTCCCGCCCTACCAGCACGAAGAGATCATTGGCAAGGTCTGCGAGCTCATCAATGAGGTGAAAGAGTCCTGGGCAGAAGAAGCAGAATTTGAACCTTCAACCAAGAAGCCTCGTGCAGCAGGGGAGGCCACAGCAGCTCAGGAAGAAGATTGGTTTGGGAAAAGTGAAGTCTATGATTATTTGCAAGAACCTCTCTTCCAGGCCACCCCTGACCTGTTTCAGTACTGGTCGTGTGTTACCCAAAAGCATACGAAACTAGCCAAGCTGGCCTTTTGGCTCTTAGCAGTGCCTGCTGTGGGTGCCAGGAGCGAATGTGTAAATATGTGTGAGCAGGCACTCTTGATCAAAAGGAGGCGGCTACTCAGTCCAGAAGACATGAACAAACTCATGTTTTTGAAGTCCAACATGCTTTAAGACTTTAATTAACAAAACTTTAAAACACTGTTCCAAACAAAGAAAAAGAAATTTAAGTTCTAAACACTGTGGACCTCATTATGAATGCCCCTGGAAACCAAGTGCTTTTTTATATATATATAAAAATATAAATATATATAAAATTAAGTTTGAAAGGAAAGCTGAGCACAGGAGAGAGACAGCCCTCTGCCAGGAATGTGCTGCTTTCCATAGATAGTGTGTGGACTTGACAGACTTTCTAATGTTTTCAAGTGGGCAGACGAATGGGAGGCTGATGTTCTAAAGTCTTCAGGCAGCTGAGATCTAAAGTGACTTGAAGTTTCTTTTGTTTCTCCTCCACCCCACCTTTCCTCTTGTCCCCTGGGCCATCTTGCCATGGATAATCAGACTCCATTGACCAGACCAGTTCTGCACTGGACTTTGCTCCTTTGAATAACTGTACACCTTGAGGGCACTTGGCTGCAGCCTTCTTGGCATGGTGCGTGAATCAGGGCAGCTGTGTTCCACCAACACCGGCATCTTTAGAAATCAGGAAGGGAGGCTTTAAGGTTTCTGATTCTTAATTTTATTTTTAACCTTTCCATATCCTTTTTTTTTCCAAAAAACAAAAGTTACTCCTCTGTCTCTACTCCCAGTTTTGAGTTTAACATGGCAGCAAGTGATTATAAGTTTGATTTCAAACTAAGAGAAATGGTTCATGGCAGAAACTGTCAGAAGTTGTTACGTTTCTTGGCTTTATATTTTTTTACAGCAGAACTTCTTTTCTGAACTCCCGGTGTTAATGATCTTTTCTGTGAATTTTGTACATCAAGTGTTCTCAGACTTGTTCTAGAGTAGTCCATTTGCAATTAAATGATGTTCTTAAGGGAACCTTAGCAGTTGTTTATGTGGCAAAGCCTAGAAACCAAGAAAAGAAAATGGTGACAGCACAGGTGGCTGTGGGCCACCAGTGAGCTTGCCAGGTCTGCCAGAGAACTCTTGTACCTAAAGATTTTTGTTTAGAGGTGTCTCAGTGAGACACAAACCACCCTTCCCAAGGCCAAGGATAAACCAAGGTGTATGATTTTTCAGGGGAACAAAGCTCACCAGTTTTGTCAAACTGGGGTTTGAAGGAAGCTTAGAGAAGTGCATGGGCTCAAAGATCCTTCTGAATGTAAGTGCTCCTGATTGAGTGCAAAGAATATCTTCCCCTTTTTGTTTGGAATGGTTTCCTCTAGTGGCACGAATGTCTTTTTGATACCTACAGTGCATTACACTACTTGTTCTGTTGCTGACCTGTTCTGGCCAGGAAGGCCACGGGCCCCGAAACGTTCACACGTAACTGGCTCACCCCAAATGCAATTAGAGATCCCCATAACCCCAAACCATCTGGTCACTCTGCTGTCCCCAAGGCCAGAGCTCCTGCAGGCACAGCTCCTGGGCTGCTGGACAGGCTCTGCCAGCTTTGGTGCCTCTTGGACAATTCCCAACCTCTGGTGCCAAACTGTGCATTTTTCACTGCTGGGACTTGCCTCCTAGAGGAAAACTGAAGCAAATTCTTTTTTCAGCAGTCTCTTGGGCTTCCAGGAGCTCTGGAGCTGCGGTCCCAGTGGTGTGGGAGGGTCAGGAGGAGGGACCGGCCCTGCTGAGAGCAGGCTGGAGCCCTTCAGCAGCACAGGGAGTTTGCTGCTGGCTGGCAATGCAGGGGGAAACTGGAGACCCTCTCTGCAGTGCTGCTGTTGAGCAGATGTTAAACCAGGATCCCACCTGCCCAGCTCTGGCTGTAAGAGAAGTTGCAAGTTGCAAGACGTGAGAAATAGCAAACCCAATCTCTCAGGCTTTGTGTGCAGATGCCTTGAACCTCACAGGCACTCCCTGACACTGCACTGCCACAGGACTCAGGGGCACAGTTTGCACACTGGACCCTTCCCCACGCCAGGCTCACGAGGACAGACCTTGGCACCAGCTGTCTTGCCCTTTCCAGCCCTTTCAGCCTTCCATTGCCTTGAGGCTGGTGTTTGGGTTGACCTCTCAGCACTGTTACTGCCATCAGACCAAAACCATTGTCTCCTAAATTGTTAAGTTTTTGCCTAAAGCACACGGCCTGCCACATGAACAGGAGCTGCCAAGGCAGAGGCTCCTGGACTCCTGATTTCCCTGTCAGTGGCTGGTGGAGGGGTTGCTGTAGGGCCAGCTTTCCTTCTTGCTGCTTTTGTTTTCTCCTGTACAAATCCTGCATGCTCAGCCAGCAGTGGTAGCACAGCAGTTTGCAGGGCAGGAGAAACCTGTGGCAGACAGAAATGAACCCTGAGCGAGTGAGATGTGAGTGCCAGGCCCACTGGTACCTGACAGCAGGAAAACTTGGCTGGTGCATGTCCCAGAGAGGATCAGCTGTGGGCACAGAAGGTACCACACAGCTCAGCTGATGGCACAGGGATCAGGATTGGCAGCTCCTTCTCCTAATGGCACATTACACATTTTTGTGTGGCTCACCTGAGACCCTGAGAGCTCTTTGGTGCTCAGGGGAACATGCAAAGCCCTTGGATTCCTTTGGAAAGACAGCTCCAGCCCCAACCCTCCTTTGCTAAGGAACATGTAGATGATTTCTGTGGAATTTGTGAACTCGGGCTCACATTGTCTGGTGAGAAGTGGGCAGAGCTAGCACAGCTGTAAATCCCTGGAGCTGAGTTGGGCAAAGTGCAGGGATTTGAGCCCAGCAGTGGTGCAGGCTGAGGGCCTGCATGCAGGAAGGCCACAGCCACCCCTACCTCCCATCCCACCTCCCCTTTCCCTTCTCACACTGTGGGTTTGGCACCAGAGCTGGCGTTTTCTGGTGGTGCTGACCAAAGAGAGGGATGGACTGGCCCTCTCCTCCATCCCAAAAACTGCCCCTCTGAGGCAACTTCACTTGGAGTTGCACTAATGATGGGTGTTAAGCAGTGATGTCAGGCAGATGAGATTCTCCCAAAGACTTAAAAACCCAACAGCTGCAAAAGCAAGAGAAAACCTAAGGGCCTAAAGTGGAGCCTTCTCAGAGGTGGTGAGGAGAGGGGCTGCTTGGCTCCTTCTCCAGAGACTCAGTGCAGGAAGGTGCAGCTTTTCCTGACTTGCACATGGCTGCAGGGTGCCCAGCTCAGAGGAGCTGCTTGTGCTGGGCCTGCTCTGGGCTCTCTCTGGGTCACTTGGGCCTCAGTAAAAGCAGAGGAGCACATCTGGAGCACATGCAATTACCTTAAATGCCAAGCTTTTGCTCTTCTTCCTTCTTCCAGCCTTGAATTCACATTCTGAGGAGCAAAAGTACTTTACCAATGTCTGAAATTTGGAAACTCTCTTCCTGCTCTGTGGTGCCCCGGAGGTGAGGAGCAGCCAGGGTGTTGTAGGGAGCTCTGCTGGTCCTGGGCTGGGACACTGCTCAGGAGAGGCTCTGAGTTTGGCCAGGGATGTTGTGAGCTTCTGCTCCCTTTGACCTGGGAGGAGAAGTCCTCAGAACTGGGATCATCCTCTGGTTGGTCATGTTGAGAACTTGCCTTCTGTTTGTTGGTTTTCTTTAATCTCCCTTGTGAAAAGTGTCAGGGTGCAGGAATGGTGTGTGGCCTCCAGGCATCCACCTGTTCCTGCTGCTGACTGTGCCTGACCTTGCGGACTCTTCCTAGCTTCACAGTTTGCTTTGGGAGCATTCTGACCTTCTGGTGGGGAACAAGCAGCACCAGGTGAACCCCAAGAGGGAAGGGCCTGTCTGAACATCCTTGTTACTGAAGAGGGTGGGATAGAGGCAGAGCTCTTGAGGAGGTTGTTCTGTGTGGAGCAGCAGCCAGGAGGTCAGTCAGGAGCTCTCCTGCCTCTCAGTAGGCAGTGGTTGTGTTTGGCTTGCAGGATGGTCCTGCACCTGGGTTGAGTTGAGATGGAGGTGAACTTCCCTTTCTGTCCAAGCTCTCTGTCTGTGCTGAGGAAACTGCTGTGGGTGTGTTTGAACTGGTGCAATCTGCAAAACTTTCTGTGACAGCTGACTGTGGGCTCAGGTTTTGTCTAACTCAGTTGTTCCTTCATTGCTGGTTAAGCCAGTTTGACTGTGAGCTGGACTGGTTTAAGTGTCCACACAAAGCACCTGCACTGGTTTATCTGTGCTTGCTGGGCAGACAGGATGTCCAGCAGCAGCTCAGGGAGTCATGACCCTTATGTGACTTTTGCAAATGAATTTGCAGCAGATGCTCTCAGAACCTGGCAATGACTGAAAATAGAGGGGAGACACTTCTGGAAATGACTTGAGCTCTAAATGGTGGCATTGGAGTGTCCAGTGAGATGGCTCAGGTGGGTTGGGTGGTTTTTCTCCAACTGTCTGCAATAACCCAGAAGGTTTAGCATGGGAAGGAATTACCAAAAATGTTTGTGTTGGTGTCTGAGTCTGCTCAGAGGGAGCAGTTCCACTCTGGCCATGGTGAGCACAGGACAGGGGCCTGGAAGCTCCTGCTGCTCCCACAGTGCCCTGGGCATTTCTAGGCAGCACCATGTTACTGGTGAATCAAAATGCATTAAAAGAGCAGCCAGGAAGGTGCTCCAAGGCTGGGAGTGCTCTCTGTGCTGAGGAGAGGCTTGGATTGCTGATGGCACCTCTTGGCTGAGGGAGAGGCAGGAGCTCCTGTGAGCATTCACACAGGAAGGGACAAGCTGTTCCCTATGGAGTAATTAGGAGTAATGGGAAAATAAAAGATACTAAAGGCAGATTCTGGGAAATCTCTTCAGGGAGGAGAGCTCTGTTCCTCTGGGAGGGGGCTGAGGGGAAGGTTTTGAGCCCTGTTGCTGAAGACAAGGCTGCAGAGTGGAGCTTGCTCCATAAACACTTGGCTGGACCCTGCCAAGAGAAAAGGAACTGGGTGTAGGGGTGGGAAGTGCCAGGTTCCTGCCCAGAGCCCTCCTGGAGGGTTCACAGAGCCTTTTCCTCCCACTCATCACCAGCAGCAAGGCCTTGCCAGCTCTCAGTGCATCCCTCAGCCAGTTCCAGCAGGGAGGGAGGTGGCAGAGGGGAAGCTGCCAGTGGAAGAGCAAATGTGCTGTAGGATCAGCGTGGGGAGGGTGTTCAGTGTCTGCTGCTCCTGCTGAGCTTTCCTCTGCTGCTCCATGGCCTGGGATCCCCTGGGAATGCCCGGAGCCTCCAGCTGAGCCCGGTGCCTGTGTCAGACCTGACACTGTCGCTCTGTAGCAATAAGAACTCCCTGTGTGTGGGACCTGTCCCCTCACTGCTCTGTCACCTCCTGGGGCTGCTGGAAGTGTCCCTGAGCAAACCCTGAGGCCAGCTGAGCTCCTGGGACAGTCTGCTTAAGCTAGGCCAGAAATGGTGAACCAATGACAGTGGGTTGCCCTGAAATTTAATTGTATCTATTGAATGTTTGTGGGATTTCTGTTTAATTTCAGGTTTAGTTTGGCTGCTTAGTTGAGGTTTTTTCCTGTTCTGAGTCCTTTGTAACTCGACAGGAGAGTTTTGCTCACATAGACAACGGTGTATCCATAGACCCTGAGGGGTTCCTTATCCATAGGCAGCTGAGTTGGAATTTTTGGCTCCTGAAACAAGGAATGATGACTGGCAGGATTTTATGTAGCATCCCTGACAGTGGGACCCAGATGAGCAACTCAGGCTTAATGATGGGAATATTGTAGGAATATTGTTGATGACACGTCCAGCTCTTGCTTTTTACAACCAAAGCTCCTTAAAAAGGCACTTCCAGCCTCACTGGCCTCAAATCCTTGTTCTCACCTCCCAGGGTGGCAGTCTCTGCGGTGTCTGTGGATAGGCTGGGATTGTTTCTTCCAGTGGGCTGGGGGTGTGGGAGAAGGGATAACTTTTCCCCTTTCTGTGTAGAAGGACCTTCCCCCTCAAGGAAGGAGATGTGTTCTGGAAGGAGCAGCAGATTTAGGAGCTGTTTTCCATGGTCCCTTGAAGCTTGCTGGTACTTTAATACTCCTTTTTCTGAATTGTTTAAAGGAAAGCTGGTAGTGGATGACCTGCCCAGTGGTGGCAGGTGGCAGCCCAGGCTGTCAGTGGGGGGACATTCTGCCCAGGCCGTGAGGATTGTGGTCCATGCCATAGCCAGACAGTGTCATGGTGACAGCCAACCATCAGGAGATCCTTGTTTGCAGCCAGTCTGAAAAGAAAAGCTGTTCCTCACTCGTGAGTTCCATTTCCCAAACCACCTCCTGGGAGCTGAACTCATTTCATCAAGCAAAGGATTTAATGTTCTCCTGCCCCTCCTGGCCCTCCCTGCCCTCAGTAACTCGTGTGCATTTCCTTCCTTTCTGTAGATGCAGATGTTCTAGGCAATACCACAGAGCACCCGCGCTGCGAGTGCGAACATGTCATCTTAAAAAAGACAAAAAAAAATATACAAAAATATACAAAAAATATCTTTTTTAGGCCAGAGTTTTCTACAGGTATTAATGAATATTTTTCTTAATCCTTATAAGTTTTATGTGTTTAATATTTCTTAATACCGGTAGCATTAATTTATACTTTTGTAGCAACACAATATTTTTATAAACCGCCACCGCTGGCTTTGTCTTCATAACGGGAAACGTGCGGGCAGCTGGCCCCGCGCTGTACCATGTACTGTATTTAAAAGGTTATCTAATGTCACACTTGCTGTGTTAATAAACAAAACAAAACCTGTTTGAAGTCTCATGTATTGTTGGTGTGGATCAAATGACTCACTAGAGAGCAATATTGCACGGGGTTGAGTTGCTGATTTTCATTGTGATACGCGAACGCTTGAGGCCAACTCAAGTTCTGAGGTTTTTTTTTTTCTTTTTAGGATTTTGTTTTGTTTTTGTTTTGTTTTGGGTTTTTTTTTTTCAGCTAAATAAATTCAGTGCTGTTTGAAACTTAGACTGACGTCAAATGAAAAGGATTATTAAAGAAAAAAAAAAAATCAAGGTGTTTAAATGTTGCTGTTTTTCCAAGTCTGTTGCTGTCTGAATGGAAATATTCCACGAGTGGAGGAATAGTTCCACTTAGCTTCCAAAGGGGCCGAGCTCCAGGCCAGAGTTCGGTTATTTGGAAATACCTTAGAGACATGTTTCTGCAACATTCTTTTCAGAATTGATGCCAAGGCAGAAGACAAACTGTAACTGTAAGAAAGCATCCGTTGCTTGAGGATTTTCATGTCAGTGTTGTATTTATGGTTTTACAATAAAACAACCTTTAGGGAAAAAAAAGTGTCTGGGTTTTTTTATATTTTCTGCATTCA